CTATTTGATAATTCCTCTCCCCCTCCCCACCCCCTCCCCCCTTATTGGTAACCTTGGATAATACCTCTTACTTTTTATTAACTTATACGRATATAGAAAACCTTGCAGGATGTGTTGGGGGAAAAACAATGAAAATGTTAAAGTTTTGGAGGAATGTCTAACACTGACTGGTTTAAGGAAGTGAAGAGAGCCAAGAACAATAGAATCCCTTTGGGGAAGGGGTGGGGAAAGAAAATCGACGTCCTCAACCAAGGGGTACAATTGGTAGCACACAAAGGAAGATTACTTACTTTAGAAGCCAGTTACAAATGGGCTTGGAAATCAACGAGACACAAACTGATGTCATTCCACTAGAGGTGAATTCATAAAGTGGGTACCCTGTTGTGATGATAAAAAAGCAAGAAAAGATGAATCAAATGCATATTTGATTCCAGTTCCTTTGTACACATATAGACGTGGGGCATATGGGAATAAGTCATGGTTACCTGTGCTTGTTGCGTTAAGACATTGAAATTCACCAAAATGAACATCACCACTCAGTAGCATTACCTGAAAAAATGAATATTTGATAAATAAAAAAGGAAAAACTATGGACAAATACAAACAGGATGGATGGACGGACGGACAGACGGTTGGTTGGATGGACGGACGGACGGACAGACGGACGGACGGACAGACGGACGGACAGATGGATGGATGGATCGATAGGTGGATGGATGGATGGATGGATGGATGGACTAATGAACAAAATGAATGCATGGAAGGATGGATGAATGGAAGGATGGATGGATGGACATTAGAGACCAGGCTCTCCTTACCCCTGGTGTCTTCTGTAGCATCCATATCAATCTATCRTAGCTCTCTGGACAGGCATGCCATTTGTCAATCACTGGCAGATCAGATAGTATTTGAACACCGCTACCAATCAGAGTCAATGATGAAGGATTCTTGTCACTCAACTGTTTCTCCAGCCAGCCCCACTGCACCTCTCCCAGGATATCACAGCCAGCACCCTTTGCGATGGAATGGGAACGTGTATCCAATAGGATAATCTGTTGAAGAAAGCAAATTGGTAAATTGGTAAATGATCAACACTAATCACAAATCTATCTGACAATTAATTAACACTGCTTATCCAATCAAAATGCTCCAACATATATAGCACTGTCATGGTCACAGGTGCACTCTTTATAATAATTGCAACTTTTAAGAGATATACAAAACCTATTTTAACATACCTTGACTATTTTATTTCCCTGTCCAAACAGATAAGAACCATATACTCCTTCACGATGCCTCCGTACACTTTCGAGGGGTTCGTCAAGAAAATCTAGAAAAATTCCTTGGGATTGTAGACGATCTTTGTGATTCTAAGAAAAAAACTGGAACTTCAAGATCTTAAACTAATTTTCAAATTACCCTCACTCCTCATACCCCCTCCCTTGAACATGAAGTTACAAGTGAATTAACACCTTCCCCCCCCCCTCTTCAAAAAAAAAAAAAGAAATACTCAGTGTCTTTATAAAATTCCCAAATGGAAATCTAGGGAGGAAAGATGGCTCTGTCCATGATATTTATTCCAATGATTGACAGCTCTACTACTGTTTCTTACCTTTCCACCGCGGTCCATACCATAGTCATGATCGTCCCATACACCTAACACTCTTACACCACTTTTTATAAATGACTATATSAAACCAAACAATAGATTAGCATTGGGCTCTTGATCTGGGAATATACTGGTTCACAGATCCTTTATGAGAGATGGATGCTCCCACTAATGAGCTCCTGATCTGGGAATATGCTGGCTCACATTGGGCTCTTGATCTGGGAATATACTGGTTCACAGATCCTTTATGAGAGATGGATGCTCCCACTAATGAGCTCCTGATCTGGGAATATGCTGGCTCACAGACCCAGTACTGGAGATGGATGCTCCTAATAATGGCTCAAGTCCTGATCTGAGAATATAATGGCTCACAGATCCAGTATGGGAGATGTATGCTCCTAGTAATGGCTTCCTGATTTGAGAATATACTGGCTCACAGAGTATGGGAGATGGATGCTTCTAGTAATGGCTTCCTGATTTGAGAATATACTGGCTCACAAAGTATGGGAGATGTATACTCCTAGTAATGGCTTCCTGATCTGAGAATATAACATTTGGCTCACAGATCCAGTATGGGAGATGGATGCTCCTAACAGGATTGAAAATGTAGCTCTTGTGCACCTGATAATTTGTCAATTTCTTCTGTTTTTGGTATCTTTCAGCTACTAGTTCTAGTGGTGCTGGTGTCCATATCAAGGGAAGGACATTAGTGTCTGCATACACAGCTAGGAACCATAGAAAACAAACAATATATTTAATTCTGAGAAAGGTTTTTGAGGGAAAAAGTAAAAAAAAACAAGGAGGATTGAGAAATAGATGTATGTGTTTGAGAAAAATGAGAAAGAAATTCAGAAATAAGAATGGGATTGGAAGGAAAGTTAAATGAGAAGACAGAGAATTCGAATAAAAAGAGAGAAAAATTTAAACAATGATAAAGGAAGGAAAGAATAGATGGATGGATGGATGGATGGATGGATGGATGGATGGATGGATGGATGGATGGATGAATTGATGAATGAATGAATGAAAAATGAATGAAGAAATGAAAGAATAAATGAAAGAAAGATAGAAGGAATGAAGGAATGAATGAATCGACCAACAAATAAATAGATAAATAAAGGAAAGAATAAACAACTAAACTGACCRAAACATAGAAGGAGAGAGAGACTGTGTGTATGGATTGTTTTGTGGCATAACAAATAAATAATAAATGGACTAAGGATGATATTAATAATCCCATATCTTACCATCTCCAAGCCATACCCATACATCAGGATTTTGTTGSATTATATGCTTCCACAATGGTTGGATCTTGTTCTGGTTGCTATGGGGAGGGAAACACATATCTTACTTTTCTGTATAATTACAAGAATAAATTCACTTTCAAAAATATAAACAAAGTATGGCTTTTTATAGACAATCTCAAAAAAATTGCCCCCCCCCAGCACACAACAAAGTTTCTAAAAAATGTTCTATACAACCCCTGCTCTGGTAAATAACAATATGATTAATTATTAAAGATTATTGTTAATTGGGTTTAATAAAACAGCATAATTCTATGCACCTTTTTCATAAATTTCACATTTTGATCATGTAAAAAAACACTCTAGATTTAGTAAATGAAAGATATATTCATCACAATATAAAAAAATATTCTAAAATAAGAAAGATTTAGGCTTTTTGAGAGTAGAAAGTTAAATATTTGAGGATTTTTTTGTTTTGTTAGCTTGGTGTAAACCAATTATGAAAAARCAGGTACTTGGATGTTTGTGGAAGCGGTCTAAAGTTCAACGGAAGTAAGAAAATAACGTCATAACCGCAAAAATTACTTTTAAAGGAAAAATATCTAAAAAATAATAATAATAAAACGTTCTAAATAATGTATATTGGTGTATTGAGAGCCTTTTTCACATATTTGAAGAAATATAAAGGTTTGAATTTAAGTAAAAATTACTATTTTCATATAGAAAACAAATTTATTGTTGTCAGTCACGAGACTTTTCTGGGGAATAATTTTTCCGATCCCAACATATTTGTTTTAACTCTAAATAATATTCAAAATAAAACAGATCTAAACTTAAGAAGAAATATAGATAATATATGAGACGTTGAATAAAATAATTCTACAATATTTTCCCAAAAAAATATTTTCTTCATTTTTCTCCACTTACTTGCAACTTCCAAAGGCGATMCGGCTTATAACCGTTTCGTCAAAGAAATCAGCTTCTATTTTCRTTTTTTCTTCACATTTAACTAACCCAAGACATAATATATATAATATAAACGTTTTWAAATATAATCTAAAAGAGCTAAAGYCGTTTTTAAGCTTGTGTTTTYCCATTGCTACCATTTGTCTTGYCYGTTAAATAAGYTACACTTTATTCAATGTCAGCGGAAGTCTYAGAAACATTRCTCCAATTTCCGGTACTATTACTTCCGGTCCACGACTAACCGGATAAATTTTTTATTCCTAATGTCACAAAAAAGCAAGGATGCATTTATTATTTCTTTACGCAATAATAAATTGTAATGAGGTCAATATRTCATATATTTCTTTGAGATTTGTTTTAGAAATTTTGTCATTTTGTTGAGATAAATTTGTGGGAATGCTGTGGTATTTTGTGGACGTGTTCCTAAGTTTAGTAGGACGTGACGTCATGTATTTCTGATGATGATGATGATGATATGTGGGAATGCTGTGGTATTTTGTGGACGTGTTCCTAAGTTTAGTAGGACGTGACGTCATGTATTTCCATATATGGCATCAGCTGAGGAGACAAGTTCTCTTTTCTTTTGGTCTCGTTTTCTTAGTGAGTTTAACTCGAAATTCTTCCCCAAAAAATGGCTCAACCAGCCCCACAAATGATCCGAGGAATCGTCAAACAGGTAAAACTACCTTAATTCAACCCACACCTCGACTGAGAATATTTTTTTCCCAAATCGCGGTCACTCAGTCTCACTTTTATGAAACCAAACTCAAACCGGCTTCTAACTTTTATTTGAACTCAGTGTTGTTCATGTTCACCTAGTTTTTGCTTCATTCTCAGATTCTTTCAGGAGATAGTGTTATTATACGAGGACAACCTCGAGGAGGCCCTCCTCCAGAGAGACAGCTTTGTCTTTCCAATATAACAGCTCCAAAACTCGCTAGAAGAGCAAATCCTAACATTGAAGGAAGCCAAGACACGAGAGATGAGGTAATAAAGTACACGTAGAAAAACTTTATCCTGAGGGGAAAAAAATCCAAAAATTTCTCAGATCTTTTTTTCATAGTGTCATATGAACTATGATTCTTATCGTTATACGTGGATTTATTTTTTAGTTTGAAGTCATAGTAGTATCTTTTAAAAGGAAATCTTTTTTGATTCTTTACACTGTAAAACAATTAGCCAATCACATGAGGTAACGTAAAACTAGAAATCTTACTACGGCCAGACTAGCTGACCACTTTTTATCGAAATCCTTAAACCCGATCTTAATATTGTTTAACATATTCTTTCAAAAAACTAAAAAAGGTCTCCCCTTTTGATTTTTTCGTGGTTATTCTAACATTTTTTTAATGTAATAATTTGATTTAAATGCACTCAAATAATAAACTATAAATGTGTATTTAGTGTAGTTTGTGACGCTGCTGGCAATATCGGGATATTGTTCCCTAAATATGGAAAATCTACGTTTTATTTTAAGTATCTTAAGGATAGTTTTATTCATTTTTTAAGAAGTGATTCTGATCTTTTGTACTCTTGTTCTGTTGTGCTTTTTTCTTTCAAAAAGATCCACGTGCATTTCGCACTTCCCAAACAACATTTTCACGAATTTCATATCTCTGATGTATTCTCAAAGGATATAATTATGATTGTAAAGAATATAATATTAAGGGTGTAAGATATACTACAGTGTAATAAACAAACTTTCGTTGACGTGTTCTACATTTTTCTTGTTATTATTTTAATTTCAATAATTTTCAATAACAAGTAGCACTGTATATCCCATTATATATCCATTACTTCCTAAATCCCCAGCATTGCTATCGATCGGCTCTATTAGGGGGTCCCAAAGACAAACGTATTTGTGTATTTTGTTGCAGCCATTTGCATGGGAAGCAAGGGAATACCTCAGAACAAGACTAATTGGCAAAGAAGTCTTGTTCGCTGTGGAGTACCAGGTCCCAGGAACTGGCAGAGAATATGGCTGTATTTATCTCAGAAAACCAGGTAATTTTATGATCTTGAATTAACATGTTTTCTTCAGGGCTTATAATAACGGCTGATCGGTCACAGGTCGTGATCACTGGCCAAATTAGTTTTAGCTTAGTCATAACTTATTCCTGGCTAAGCATTACTGGTCAAAATGACCGGCAAGGAAAAGATTTGCTCAGACAAGTCCCAGTTCTGACCAGACATTGTCCAATTTCTGGCTGTTATTTTAAGCCCTGTCCTTGCTCCAAATCTGTGATCTCTGATGCTGGTAACATCACAAGTGTACAATATACAACACAGAAGGCTTGGTTTGTTCCCAGATAAAGGGATATAAAAAAGATGGCAACTCAATAGCCAGACATGAAGACTAGCGCTATTGGATTGAACTGGTCAATGTGACCGTTAAAGAGGACTGGCCTAAGAGCTGTTAAACCAGACAAGACAGTGTCAATTTTGGCCCAGATATTGTCCATTGATCGGTCATTATTTTTAGCTTTAAGATTGAGATGTGTCACAATATAGGAGTCAAGATTCTCCTCCTTCAAGGAATTTCTCTAGTTTACCTGTGTTTTTCATTTCATTCGAAAATCAAGACACTTTATTGGATTTAAGCCGAGTCCAAAAATAGTTCACATAATAATGCAGTGCTCAGAAGTACCCTAAATTTAAGTTGACTAATAAACAGGGTTTTAAGTGTTTCCCTCTATTGAATTATTTCAGGATCAGAAGACTTTGAAAACGTCACAGAATCTATTGTTGCTGAAGGATTGGTAGATGTTCGAAGAGGAGGAATCAAGCCATCTGAGTAAGTAATATAATAAGATTGATCTTCATGTGAATTGATAGATATCTAGAGTTTGATGGTTTGATCAAGTGCCCATAAAGTGGATTTTAAGTTGAAAGTTTGAAATACATCAGTGATTTTCGTTGATACTTCTAATTTCCAGTGGACAGACAAAGCTGATTGACTTAGAAGAGCTGGCCAAGACTCAGAATAAAGGAAAATGGGGCAGTAATGCAAATGAGGTACTCATTCAATATACAGTATTTAGAACAATAGTGTGGAATTCATACTCTGCTTCCTGCAGAGAGCTCACTAGCTACAGCCTTTAGCACCTCACCATTATCACCATTATCATTTATTTCAGCACATCAGAGAGATAACCTGGACTGTCGACAAACCAAGGCATTTCCTGGAAACACACTCAGGCAAGGAGATTTCTGGTAGGTGTTGTGGTATTTTTTTTTAAATGTTAGTAGTTCATATTCTTTTAGTTTTAGCATCAGGTCATACCTTGTTTCTGACTCAACATTATAAGACAATCAGCAAGGAAAAGATTTGACCAGAAAAGCTCCAATTATGGGCAGATATTTTGCAGTGACTGGCCTTTATAGTTTGATGGTGCAGAAAGCATCAGTCATGTGAGGATACAAGAATAATACTTAACTTTTTGTTACAATAGAAGCTATTGATTTATTTATTAGCTATTGTGGAACATGTACGGGATGGATGTACAGTCAGGGTTTTCCTTCTACCATCTTTCCATCATTTGACAATCATGTTAACTGGTATTAAGGTAAGTCGTAGAATAGTGATTAAACAACAGTATAAGTACCATGAAAACATTTTTGAAGTGATCCTTGGGGGTTCCAGCAGATCTTGAACACTTTTCCTTACTCCTTCTTCCCCCTCCTTCCTGCTACCTTGTCTCTCTCTCCTCCCCCTTTCATCTGTTTTGTCTCCTCTCTCACCCCAAATTCATCCTCCCTCTCCCTAACACCTATTTGCTCCCTCTTCCTTCCTTCACTCTCCCACCTTCCTTCCTCCCCTCTTCTGCCTCCTTCCATCCACCTTCTTTCCCATACTCCTTTCTCCAACTTCTTCTGCCTCTGCTCTACCACTTCTCCCTCCTATCTGCCCCTTCTCCTCTTCTGTACCACTTTTTTCTCGACCCTCCCTCCATCCACCTTCTTACTCCCTCCTTTTCCCCACTTCTTCCTCCTATGCTCTACTACTTTTCCCTCCTCTCTCCTCCTTCTCCATAACATCTCATTCCCCACCCTTCCCCCAACCCCCTACCTCCATCCCCTCCCTCAATCCCCTCCCTTTGTTACTTGTCATCAAATTCAAACATAATTATATTGTTTTGTAGTGTCCAATGGTCAAGAGAGAAGGTGAAACCCCTGAACCTTATGCCGACGAGGTAAATAATGACCCTCTCATAAAGAACAATTACAGACATGGTTGAGACTAATAGCCCTTTCCAGAATATGCTGGAGTAACCTCCAAGTCATGGTCATCTTATATCCTCTTTAGTTTTCCAGTTCATAGAAAAACTGTGAAGGTTATAGATCAATTTGGCTTGTTTGCTTATTATAATGTGTGTGGTTTACATTACAGGCCAAATTTTTCACAGAAAGCAGGCTTCTACAGAGAGAAGTGAAAGTTGTCCTAGAAGGTAGCCTGAAGCTTTAACTTTCTTCCTACAAAAATACTCTTTGAATGTTGATAAACGAATACAAACAATAATGTATGACTTATCTTTTTAGGTATATCAAACCAGAACTTCCTTGGTAGTATCATACATCCAGTAAGTATTGTAATATGCCCAGGGGTTGTTTCAGGGTTTGATCTGAGAATAAGCTGTGCCCTGACTTTGATCAGCCAAGAGGTTGTTTCAGGGTTCAATCTGAGAGTAAGCTGTGCCCTGACTTAGATCAGCCCAGAGGTTGTTTCAGGGTTCGATATGGGAGTTAATTTCAGGTATCAATATAATTTAATTTTTTAAATTGTACATTATAGGCTGGTAATATAGCTGAGCTGCTACTACGTGAAGGCTTTGGTCGCTGCGTTGACTGGAGTATGGCAGTGCTAACTAATGGTCGTGAAAAGCTCAGGGCTGCAGAGAAGTAAGGAACCACTCACTTCATGTATTAATTTGCACTTCAATCAGTAGTATGATTAACTTATCCAACAAAATGGATAGCCATTAGTTAATGAATAGAGAATGAATAGAATAGACGATTTCTGAGATGCACAAGCGCTTTCATGAATATCCCAGACAACGACATAAAAATGAGACGTTTTTGTTTGTTTCAGGTTTGCTAAAGAAAAAAGGCTCAGAATTTGGAAAGATTATACTCCAAGCACCAATGCTATAGAGATCAAAGATAGAGAATTCACAGGAAAGGTGGGGAGTGTCCATTGTTTGTTTGTTCACTCGTTCATTCATCCATTTGTTCATTTATTTACCCGCCTATTCATTCTTGCGTTCTTCATGAATTCATTTTTTTATTCATCCAATAATTCATTAATTTATTAATCTATTATACCATATTGTCCAACCCTCCATCTACCCACCCAATCATCCCACCCATCCTGGCGACCCCATCCAGGCGACCCCATCCAGGCGACCCCATCCATCAATCAGCCAAGACACCCATTTAGGCTATCCATCCCATTTATTCCATCTATTCATTCTTCCACCCATTTCACTCATCCCATCCATCCATTTATGCATTTACTTTTCATTCTGTCTATTATTGTCCATTCACCCATTATTCTTTAATCCCTGTGTATTGATCCCAAAACTAGTTATTAATGATATGTTGTTCTAAAAGGTGTTAGAAATTGTGAATGCTGACGCCATGGTTATCAAACACCCAAGTGGAAAAGATATGAAGCTTCATCTTTCAAGTCTACGACCACCAAGGTATGATTAACTTGTCATTCATACATTAAGAATTAGCAATATGGGGGAGGTGGGGTAGGGCTACCTATGAGACCACCAAGGTATAATTAACTTGTCATTCATACATTAAGAATTAGCAATATGAGGAGGCGGGGTAGGGTTACCTACGAGACATATAAGGGGGTAGGTAAATACACATAAGGTTGATGATTGTTATGATGATGATGATGATGATGATAGTAATGAGGATTATGATGATGATGGTGATGGTTATGATGATGGTGATGGTGATAAGGATGGTGATGGTGATGGTGATAAGGATGGTGATGATGATGACGATGGTGATAAGGATGGTGATGATGATGATGATGATGGTAATGATGATGAAGATGATGATGATAAAGAAGTAAGGTTCCTCTAAGCTAAATA